CTCTTTACTGTGGGCTGTTTGTTTCAACTTTTCAAAGTTAACTTATGACTTTTAGTTTTGAAAAAGTTATTTTGAACTGTTTGGTTAAACTTATTTCAAACAGTTTCTGATTGTAACAGCTTATTTTAACTCAAAAAAGTTGATTCTGAGAAGCTGCTCACTCCTTACTTCTGATTATCAGCTTCTGTTGTGGACATGTTAATTTATGGTTATACTCTTAAATTTTTTTATTTTTTATTTTTTTTAAAATAGAAAAAGACTCAAATAGATTATAGATTATTATTATTATTATTATTTTTTTTTTTATGAAAAATGTAGACAAACAAAAAATAAAAATTAATTGAAAAAACTATTTCACAGCTTATTTAACAAACACTACTCAGCAATTTAAATCTATAATTTAACAGTTATACCAAACAGATTAACAACTTTTGATTAAAGTCATAATCTATAATCTGTAATCTGTTAAGTTATAATCTATAAGAGCATCTCCAACGGTGACTCAAATTTTTCACCAAATCTGAGTAAAAAATGACCCATTTCACCAACTTTGATACCACTCGCTCCAACGGTTCACCTTTCACCAAATCTATCCCGGGACAACCGGGTGGTCGACCGGCCGGTTGACCGGCTGGTTGACCGGTTTTTTTTTTTTTTCGCGAATTGTCTGAACTTTTTTTTGAACTTTCTGAACTTTTTTCGGGACGACCGGGTGGTCGACCGGCCGGTTGACCGGTTAGGCAAATTTTTTTTTTTTTTTTTTAACCGTTTGAACTTTTTTTCCTTTTTGAATATTTTACTAGTTGATCGGTTGGTCAACCGGCCGGGCAACCGTCTGGTTGACCGGTGTACCTCTTTCAACGGTCAGTAACAGTGATTTGGTAAAATCTGTGTCTCGTTCTCAGTTTGATGCTTTTTTTGCTGAAATCTAATTTTGATATCAATCTGGTGCAACGGTTGGAGCATAAAAAAGTGCCTTTTTCATCAAAATTTGAATCTGATATCAACTTTGATTCACCGTTGGAGATGGTCTAAGTTGTTTTAACAGCTACACCAAACGGGGCCATATTGTGTAAGACCATTCTCTCTCTCTCTCTCTATATATATATATAAACAAGGATTCCCTCTTTGACTCCTTACTTGATGGGCTATTAGGTTCACTTTTGAGCCCAATTTCAATAATCCGAACTGTTTATATTTTAGAATTTTTCATGTATATCATACTTGTAAAAAATTAAATTGATCGAATATCGGCAGAATTAAAAATCGTTTCTTAAAAAAATTTAATAAATAATTTTATTGTTTAATAAAATTTTTAGTTCACATGATTTTTGATATCCAATCGACTTGATTTTTTATAAGTATAATATACATGACAAATTTTAAAATATAAACAATTCAGATCATCAAAATTAGACCTAAAAGTTAACTCAATGACCCATCAAGTAAGTAGTTAAGTAAAGAAAGCAAGGAAAGAATCCTTGATATATATATATATATATATACACATTGTGAGGTTCTCCTTTCCACTCATCCTGTGGTGCCATGGGAGTTTGTTCCACCATTTTTTTTTGGTTTTTTTTAGATTGGATAAACTGAAATTTTTGAGCAGCAAAAAAAGGGGAATTTTATGACACTATGTTTAATGAAGTCATAAACATTGCCTTGTCGCAGGTTTTTTCTTGAGCACTTTGTTGTTTTCTCTCCTGTTAAATTATGTTCCAATTCTGCAGTTTAAATTCCAATCTTCACTAATTTTGTATTAGTGCATCATATCAGAATCTATCCAAATAAAAATTACAAGTGGCACATTTATATAAGGCTCTTGAGTGGTGCTGTACTCTTTCAAAGTTTTAAGTTCGGGATCTCGTAAGTGCAAGTAATGTTTTTAGAATCTTGTTAGCCAAGAGTTGAGACTTGAGTGTGCTTTTTTTAATATCTCAAGTTTGAAATATCATAGATGTAAATTATTTCTTGAGAGTAATTTATATAATATTTTGCTGTGACTTTAAATGAGTCTCCTTTAATGAATAATGGATTGGTCTCTGAAATTAATTAGTCAAATAGGCCGAATACCTACTTACAAAAAAAAAAAAAAAAAATTTAATTTTTTTTGGGTACGTATTTAACTATGCACGGAATTTGTGTCGGTAGCATTGTTGTTAAATCACCTCCAAGGCATCCAATATTGGATAAAGATAGAACCTCAATTTTTATATATACTGTTACTGAAAATTTCAAGGCATTACCCAATTATAATTATTTATTTATTTTTTATTTTAATAAGGGTGTTTCAATAGTAGAAAGCATCATGAATCGCTTTTCACAATGGTTGTTGTTGTTTATCAATATTGATTATTATTATTTTTTAATAAACTCCACTAATATGGAGTTCCTAATGGCCTACCACAAGCCAGCGCCCAAAAAAATAGGGTGCCACTTAATATGACAATGCTAAGTTGTTAGGGCTGTAAATGAATTCAACTGTTTATGAATAAATTTGACTCGACTTGTTAAGGGTTTGACTTGGTTCGATTCGGTTAGTAAACGAGTCGAGCTCGTATAAACTCGGTTTGGCAAATTTGAATTGTTTATTTTTATTTAAATTATATAATAAATATATTAAATAATATATTATTTATTATTGAAAAAATTAGTCTATAAGGTTCCTTTCTCATATTTAGTAATGAAAGAGATTTACAATATTATTTTATGATCTCTCAATCTCTATATTCATATATCACAGAGAAATTTCTCAAATCAAACTTCATTTTTTTCTCCCTAAACTCTCTTCCTCTGCCAAATTCACCTCTTCTTTTCTTTCTCTCATCTCCACCATTTCCAAATCGTCCCCATTCCTACCACCACTGCCATGCCCATGTTCATCTTCGATCGCTGCTTTTCTCGCTAGAAACTTCTAAATCGAATTCAGAGTTGTGGCAGTGGTGGTTCATCTCTATTATCATCATGATCATATACCGGGGAGGTTTCTTCTAGATCTATTGAAGGTATACATTGGAATTTGGGTTTCCATTACACTAATTTATGTTTTATGTTTGACAGTTTTCAGGACTTAGTGTGATTGTGGTTCTATTCTTTTTCAATTACAAGATTTTTCTCTACTTCTATCTTTAAGTAATTATTGAAAATATCATAATGGCAACTAAAAAACGGGAGACAACCTTACACGATCTGGGGACATGGATTTAGCAAAGAAGGTGTTTGATGAAATGCCAATGAGAGAATGTTTAAGGTCCCTCAAATCAATCTAGGGAAATTTCATTCCAAACCAGAGAATTTCTCTGAACCAAACCAGAGAAAATTCAGTCAAAACCAGAGAATTTCTCTGGATCAACCCAGAGAAAATTGAGTTCAACCCAGAGAAAATACAGTCCAAACTAGAGAATTTCTCTGGACCAATCCAATTTTCTCTGAAGCAGAGCACTAGCCTCATTATTGTCTAGAGAAATTTGAAATTTTTTCTGTGATTTGTCTAGAGCTCGTTAAGGGCTCGACTCGGCTCGGCTTGGCTTGGCTCGGTTCGTTTAGTAAACGAGCCGAGCTCGATCTCGCATAAGCTCAGCTCGTTTATCATTATTTAAATTGTATAATAAATATGTTATTTATATATTAAATAATTTAAATAATATATTAAATTATATATTAAATAATATAAATAATATTTTTTATTTAAATAATATAAGTAATATTAAAAAAATTTATCGAGCCGAGCTGAGCTCGAGTCTAGTTCCTTATTAAGCTGAGCTTGAGTTCAATAAACGAGTTCGATAAGTAAATAAGTCGAGCTTAAGCTCAGCAAAACTCGGCTCAGCTCGATTTGTTTGCAAATCTACTTGTTGTGTACCACTCCCAAAAGCAATATTTGCATCCAAAACAGGAGTCTACTTGGTATCAATTTGCCTTATAATTTTCTAGAATGAAAACAACTAATGAATGGCATGTATATATGTATATGACTCATGCAATAATACATACCTTCATTTTAGGCCCATATCATATGCACGTTATGATTTATATTAATTGATGTTATTTTTGAATTATTGTGGTATTAATTATGAGTAATTTTGATCTATTGTAGTTATCATCAGAGGAAAAGGGGTGCTTGCTGTACAGCAGGCACTGCTATGCCTACTTGACCCATGGTTTTGCTTTTTTCTTTTTTTTTTAATATAATTTTTCCTTTGTTTTTTCTTTTTTATTGGTACACTACAAGAATTAACACTTTTAGCAACAAAAAAATTGGTCGCTAAAAGTCTATTTTTGGTCGGCAAAAGTTATCCGCGACCAAATTTTTTGGTCGCTACTTTGGTCGCCAATTGAGGGTCGGTAAAAGTAATTCGCGACCAAAATTATGGTTGGTCGGCAAAAGTTGGATTTTGCCGACTAAATTTTTGGTCGCTAAATATTCAATTACCGCGACTAATTTATTTTGTCGCCAAAACACTTTGGTCGCGAAAAGTGATATTTTCCCGACCAAATTTCTTAGTCGCCAATTGTCACATTTGGCGACCAAAAAGTTTGGTCGCCAATTATTACATTTCGCGACCAAATTTTTTGGTCGCCAATTATCACATTTCGCGACCAAAAAAATTGGTCGCCATTTGTGTCTTTTCGCGACCAAAACTTTTGGTCGGCAAAAGTGAGATTCCACGACCAAGAGCTGTTTTGGTCGGCAATACATGTATTTTTTGCGACCAAAACTCTTGGTCGGCAATTGTCATTTTTTGCGAAAAAAAATTATTTTGAAAGAATCGACTTCCAACTTTCAAAATCAACTAGCTACAGCAAAAAGTGAAGCAAATGTCCTCAATGATTAAAAACTTGTATAGGGTTCTGTACTATAGCAGGATTTGAAAGGCAAAACAAAAACATCTAGAAAGAAAGAAAATGGGTAATGGAAAATAATTACTTAGGAAACAAATGCATTACAATTCAAAAATAAAATAAAGAAATATTAGGGGAAAAAAGGTGAAAAAGAACCAATCTTCTCAATCTCAGCATGACCAGGACATTCTTTTTAAATGCATAAATAAGAGTAAAATGTTAAACACACTGCAATATTCAAGGCTTTGAGATACCTTGGGAGAAAAATCTTCTGTAAGATAAACAGCACTAGAATTCAACTCGGATATAGTAAAAGGTGGGTCAAGTTCTGTGTGAAGGTATTTGAGTCCCTGAGCAATGCCTATGATAATTTTCATTCGCCGTGTCCAAGATAATTGGCATCCTTCTCCATCTGCAATTATAAAGAAAGCTCAAATTGCAGCTACTGAAACATGTTGGAGTAACCAACTATTAGAAATAACAAGCTTTACTCTTACAATGGAGGTGCTCATACAACGTCCCATCTGATGCATATTCAAAAACCAACATCCTTGTAAATGGTTTACTCTCTGTGCAATAACCCAGTAATTTTCCTGTATTCTCATGATTTAATCTTGCCAAATCAGCTACCTGAATTGTAAAAATAAGTGAGATTTTAAAAGTCGTTTGTCACATATCTAATTACGTTCACCATCAATCTAATTACTTTACCTCTCTCTGGTAATAAAGCTCAAGATAGCCTGTCCAATGCTCTTCTTTAATGCAAAGCGATATTACAGCAATCTCAGGCCCACCTTTCATGGCCCCTTTGTAGACTAGATTGTCTGGAGAGGACCCAATAATGTTGCTGAAATCTTCACATGCTACTTTGAGTTCTTGTCTGCTAAATCTCAATACATCCTTCAACATCTCATAATCTGTATAGACTCCACCAAAGTCAACATGAGATCTATCATATTTAAAGAGCACAACTTTGAATCTTAGATGTAACCTAAGAAGCACGGACACTTCTAAGAAGGTAACATGCCTTGTCCGACAGTGTAGGACATTGACACTCCATTCTACTTGTCAGACAGTTCCCAACATTTAGACACATGAAGCACATTACAAGTTTGAATCAAATAACTTAGAATCCAATGATAAAACAAAAATAAAATAAATCATATCTACCCTCATTTAAACTTAAAAATTATTATCTGACTTAAAAATTCATATATTGACATATAGTAATTATTTATCTTTATATATAACATATAATAAATATATAAATATATATATAATAATATAAATAATATATTTTGTGTGTGTTTCCCATGTGTCATGTCATGTCCTACATTTGTGAAGATTTTCGTGTTGGCATGTCCGAATCCATGCTTCTTAAGATGCAATGTGGAAGATATAAAAGAGCTTACCTATGTATATCGTCATGTGATCCTTGTCACTTGAGGATTTCTTCCAAGGGATGATGATGGAGGTTTTGCTTTTGCATCTTTGGAGAGCAATGAGAAGTCCAAATCGTGCAGTAGAGCGCTGTTTGGGATCTTTGTCTTGAAGGCAGTTCCCTTGAAAGCTTGACCTGCATGAATTAAACTATGTAATGAAAAGTTTAGGAAACAAAAACAATCCAGATTGAAGGTATTTCAAAAGAGTAATGACAATATATACTAGTTTTGGCATAGAATTAATGATACTGTTATTTGTTTTAGTTTGGTGATGTTGCTTCGACAGCTGGTCTCATTTCTGCTGCAGAAGAGGGGTTTGTTTAACTCTTGCTTATGTAGTATTAAAGAAAGTACTAGCTTAAAATATAATCTATTATGATGCTTTATACATTACACAATTTGAAGAGATTCGTAATTTAAGTCTGAACAAGCAGAAACACATTACAATAAGCTCTCATCTTAAAAGTTAACCAGAAACGACAGCTACTTAGTGGTTTCATCTGAGGGAATATACGAAAAGCTTACCGTCCAAGATTCCAAAGGTTATGAAATGTTGAAGCTATTCCCTTCTTGCGATTATCCATCAGCCGAATGCATAGTAAAGACTGCCTTTGAAGAAGGCAGCATGGATAACTTGTCAGCCATTGTGGTTCCATTGAAGTCGGCTGGTCTTCTGTATAAGAACCTGCAAAATAGAAGCAGCAATGACGAAGCATTCAGTCTTTAGCTTTGCATTGCTTAGGATATTGTACAGTAATGACAATATACTAATTGGTTGAATTGGATTTTATTTTATTTTTATTATCAATCGACACGAGATGAGCTACAAAAATTACAAATATTATGCGAAGTATGTTAAACTGGACATTCACGAGTACATCATCATTATTCTCCACTCAAATGTATTGACAAAAAAAATTCTTTTCCTTTCCCTTGAACAAATCCTAGGTCCCAAACATAGCATGGTAGTATTCTACCCACAATGTAGCGATTATAAAAAATATTAAAAAAAAAAACGCTCCAAAACCTCAATAGTACATGAAAACTCTAAAACTCTTAACTTTCAAAAGTTATCAATCCTATCTCAAATGAGTTTCAGAGCAAATGAAAAACATGCTCTGTTTGTCAAAGTAGAAACTTGAAGAATATCGATCTGATTGCAGATGCCTTTTGAAAGGCTAAAATGGCTGATTTTCCAAAATCACAAATTCTGTCCAGCGGGTTCTTGGGGAAAACCAGTAAAATTCAGTGGAATTACAACAGCTGACAAGTTGTCCCTACTGCCTTTCTTGAACGCTTTGTTGACAATGCGGTCAGCCAATGAGGAAGAGGATGAACATGAACATGAGCTTTTGGACATTTCATTTACTTGGACATTTGCATCCCATAAAAGATCACAAACTTTCTGTGGTTTCAAACTCTCGAAGATGCCATCAGATGCAACAACCAAATAGCAATCATTGGCAGTTAAATGCCGCCAACCTATCACTTCAGGCACGGGACTAACACCATATCTGACAGTTAAAAACAAAATAAACTGTGAAAAAACGTCTCATCCCTAGTTATATCAGCCATGTAATAATGATCAGTGCAAAGTTCACACGTTTGACAGAGAATGATAATATCAGAGATCGGCAATGGGCTCACCAAAACTATTTGAAAATTACATAATTCTCATCATTACCATAGGATGATGGCTAAAGAGCAGAACTAACAGCAAAACATAAAAAAGTGAAGAGGAAAAAGATGAGCAGCCTAAGCTAACTTTAGCTTCCGAAAATTCACCTTTTTAAGTACACATCACCAATAGATCGGGATACAGCTAAGATCCTTGACACGAGGCACACCCCACAATCGTACAAACCCACCAGCAGCTTCTATTCGGGCTCTCTCATCATCTCTATCTGGATGATGATCTCTTGTCAGTTCTTTCCACATCAAGCACGTTATTGAAGCAACTGTTATGTCCAAATGGCTTGAAATAAGACTTCTAATTATGGGTATACATGGTAGATTAGTTGTCATATGCTAATAACATGCAAGACAAGTGTATTTTTTAATCTAGCAGTGCTTAGTGAATGTGAGGTCCAACCACAAAGGGACTTGATAATAATGGATAGAATTAGACCTTCATCCCCCAAAGCAGACTTGATTTCTCCGAGCACAGGAGTGCTTTTTGAATCACCAAACTAGCAACTAAATTTGACCATCCACCAAGAGAACGATGTGGCCGTGGATCCAAAATATATCTGCTTATTGAAAGCTTCTGGGAATGTAGGAATGTATCA